CACAGAAATCTGTGTACCTAGGGAAGGAGGCCAAGCATTAGGATGCAGAGTACTCTATCATTAAGAAGTCAGGTGGAAGAGGAAAACCTAGCAAAGGAAGCTAACAAGAAATGGCCACTGAGGAAGAAGAGAAACCAAGAGAGCATGGTAACTTGAAAGTAAAGTGAAAAAAATGTCTCCAGGAAGAACAGTGATATAGTAGGTCAAATGCTGCTGATGAGCCAAGAAAGAACTGAAAACTGATTACCGGATTTAGTAACGTGGAGGTTATGGGTGACCTTGACAAGTGTAGTTTCAGTGCAGTAGTACAAGCAAAAGCCTGATTAAAATGGGCTTACCAGAGACTGACAGGAGAGGAATTGGACACAGTGCAGACAACTCTTATAAGAAATTCTGCTGTCAAGAGAAGCACAGCAATTGGGTGGTAGCTGAAGGGAAAATTAGGTCAAGAACTTTGTTTTTTTCTTATGATAAGAACTAACAGCTTTTTTTCTTTTTGTTATGTTGAAGGGAATGATCCAGAGAAAAAGAAAAACTAATGTAGTTTCCTCAACTGTGAAACAGGTATAGTAATGGGATTGTTTTGAGGATTTAATGAATAAATATAAAGCACTTAGCATGGCATAAATTATGCACTCAATAATGCTTGCTTTAAAAAATATAGAATATTGGGCAACTCCTAACGACAGAGTTGGTTATGGGAGTTGGAAGATGTTAGAGACCCAATTATCAAGTCAATTCATACCACAAGCAAAGAAAAGGGCATGGATGAGGATTAAAGGGGCAGGAGAATGAAACCAGGTTTTACATCTATTGTCAGGGTGAAGAGTTCTTGTCTAACAGAGATTAACAGTAAAAATGATTCACAGTAGTTTCACCAAACTTCCATGTGGATCCAAAGTAATGGCAGCTCCTTTTTTTTTTTTTTTTCAATCACCCAAGGCTCTTTTTATTATTTTGCCTTTTATCTTCCAGTTTTTGTTTCTTTTTTTTTTTTTTTGGAGGTGGAGTCTCACTTTGTCACCCAGGCTGGAGTGCAGTGGCGCGATCTCAGCTCACTGCAACCTCCACCGCCCGGGTTCAAGCGATTCTCCTGCCTCAGCCTCCTGAGTAGCTGGGATTACAGGTGCGTGCCACCACGCCCTGTATTTTTTGTATTTTTAGTAGAGATGGGGTTTCTCCATGTTGGTCAGGCTGGTCTCGAACTCCCAACCTCAGGTGATCCACCTGCCTCGGCCTCCCAAAGTGCTGGGATTACAGGCGCGAGTCACTGCGCTGGGCCCTCTTCCAGTATTTTTAATCTTCCAAATTGCATTAAGTAAAAACTATTTTGATGTTTCAATTTTAGTAATCAGATGCATATGGCCCTAAATCAACAAGAGGCCAAGTGTGTGATAATCACAATAGCAGGCAACTGTGGTTTTGTGCAACCTTACCATGGAAAGCAGTGTAGTTTTCAGCTTTCTGAATTATTAAGAGTCATATCTTTCATGTATTTATCCTGGTTAATTCAGTCATGTGTATAAGGCCCAAAGACAGAAAGATCTGGGGAAGGTCAGGATATATCCATCTGACCAATCAGCTCTAGCGTAGAAGAATAAGAGAGAGAAATTCGTTACTTACTCTCTTATCCCAGATAAAATAAAATGGGAAAATGCAAAAAAAAAAAAAAAAAAAAAATTCTTCACCTTTTCATTTGTCTTTTTTTTTTCTTTTTTTTCCCCAACTTGAAGCACAGATGTCCCTGAGGTTTACAAAGGATTTCTAAGAGTGACATCCTCCATGCACTGAAAGATATACCCCCAAACTGGGGAAATCAATGACCTGTATTTCTATACCTAGACTAGGCTGTGTCTTCCAGAGTAGAAAAACCAACCTTAAAAAAAAAAACAAAAAAGAGATCGTCTTTTCTGCCCAATTAAACTGTCCACCAAAAAAAAAAAAAAAAAAAAAGAATATTAACTCTTTGCCCTACTGCAATGTAGAGCATACTGTAATATAGCAAGCCACCTGAAACAAAAACATGAACTCAAAACTTTATTTCATTTCAAGATGGAATTTTGCTCTTGTTGCCTAGGCTGGAGTGCAATGATGTGATCTCGGCTCACTACAACCTCCACCTCCCAGGTTCAAGCAATTCTCCTGCCTCAGCCTCCCAAGTAGCTGGGATTAAAGGTGTGTGCCACCACACCCAGAAAATTTTTGTATTTTTAGTAGAGACAGGGTTTCACCATGTTGGCCAGCCTGGTCTCGAACTCCAGACCTCAGGTGATCTACCCGCCTTGGCCTCCCAAAAGTTCTGGGATTACAGGCATGCACCACTGCACCCAGCCCGAACTCAAAATCTTAAATGGTAATTGTCTCCCAACGTACAACTCTCTTCATCATCATACCACTTACCCACATGTACTTAATCCCTTTGTTTATACATATTCACTCATCGGCTTAATTTGTTTCTTCACTATCTCTATCACCATCATTTTTACCCCTATTATCACTTCTGGCCTGAGCAACTGGAAAGATCAAGTTGCTATTAACTGTGATGGGGAAACTGCAGGTGGAGCAAATTTAGAGAAGACGAGGAGTTTAGTTTTGGACTTAAGAGTCAGACGCTTACTAGACATCCAAGAGGAGGCAAGGCCATGAGACCCATAGAAATCTGTGTACCTAGGGAAGACATTATCACTTTCCCCATGCTACAGATGAAGAAACTGAGAAGTCTTTGAGAGTAGAGCCTGCACTTAAAACACTAGATTTTGAAGTCTTACAGGACAGGCACTGTCTAAGGCTTCCATATAATAATTACAGCACTTAACACATAGTTAACATTCAGTAAGCTTGGTTAAATGAAGGCATGCTCTTAACAGTGTCAATGCAAGGACCCTTCAAGGCAAACTCATCCTAAAACCTCAAGGCTAAAGGTATTGAATGATTTCAGAGACAGTGAATTTCTGAGCTGGAAGAGTTAACGTGGCAGGGGAATAAATACCTGCTGGAACTTATATAAATCATTATACTTCTCATGGAAGTCCAAGTTCATCAGTTCCTTCTGAAGCCCTTCCAAGAAGTCTTGGCTTTGGATGAAGTTTGGGATCACGCAGTGAAGAAAAGGGTCCATGTCCATGACAATGACTTCTGTTGGAAGGAAAATATTATCTATGGCTTTTTTCCTTTTGTATTTTTGACCGCCAAGTAACACAGCACCGCTAATACAAAAGGGGATGGTCATGAATTTTGGGGAACCTAATACTTAAAGTCTTAGATTTGGGGAAAATATCATAAGCTCTGACCTTTCTTCTTTACCCATGAAATACTACTTTTTAAATATACTATGGTTACAACACAGTCCTTGAGATGAGTGATGGGTGATGTCACTAAATCAAGGTTCCTACTCTTTTTTTAAAATGTTTCAATGATTACATATTGAATTGAATGTATTTTAAATTCTTAATTCATTTCCCTCCAACTTTGGGTAGCACGTTAAATGAGAGTAGCAATACTGGCCGGCAGTTTCCCTGCTTTTTCTTTTCCTAAGTTATTGTCAGAGGCATTTACTACCTACTGTACTTAAAAAAAAAAAATATATCAGGTCAGTTCAGGCATAACCGCCTCTAATTCCTTGATTTCTACCCCAGCATTTACCCACTGCTTCCGGCTGGCTAGATCCCCATCCTGTAATCATCAGCACCACCTACCATGTCCCAGGCCCATTATCTCATTTAATCTTTTCAACAGCTCTGAGGGAGACATTATCACTCTCTCCATCCTACAGATGAAGAAACTGAGAGAACAGAGCCTGCACTTTAACACTACGCCATCGTTTTCTATAGGCATCCAGCCTACCCAGGACTCACCTCTTCAAAGCACTTGACAACGAAAGAAAAATTACGGCAAACTCTAGAAGGGGATGCCTGGCGTATGAAGCAGAGCTCTGAACACATAAGGTGATATTTAAAACCGAGGCTGGAATCGTTCAACGTAGGCTCCTTTCCTCGGTCAACGCGCGTTTATTTTCATACAACATGGAGTCAAACTACAGGCGCGTAGAGACGAGTACACTAGGGAGCCGAGCTGGCAGCTCGCGACAAATGCCCTGGCTAGACTCTCCTGGGACAGCCGAGCAACGCCCTTGCAGGAGAAATGACATCAGCTACTCCCGTATTTGTCCAGATGTGTATTGGGCCTTACTCAGGGAAACATTTACTGAAGCTTGCAAGCATTAGTGTATTGCTCCCATTCACCGACTTTCTGAGGTAAATACTATGAACTATCCCATTTTACTTAGGAAGCAACTGAAGTTTAATAAGGTTAATTCCATTGCCCGGCGACGCGCAATCAGGGGAGAGGATTCTAACTCAGTAATCTGTGACTCCAGACTGCAACTATCACTTGCATACCGTCTGCTTCCCAAAACTCTCCGGCCTCCATTTCTCCCCTTTCTCACATTTCTAAATTCAAACCGAATTTGGAGTGAAGGGGAGCAGCAGCCGAGGCAGGAGGATACAAGGTGGTCAAAGTCCTCCAAGAGCGTCTTCCCTGCCGGCCCCGCTGCCTAGGGCTGCGCGCGAGTCCCAGGGCTTTTTCAGAGGTCCCCAGACCCCTGCGTGGCGGCCCCTCCCTGAGAGCACCCGGTTACCGTGACTGAACGGCGTCCTGCGGCTCCAGGCCTCAGCCACCTGCTTTTTCAAGGTTTCTTCCATAACAGCGTCCGAAAACTCCGCCATCACCTCCTTCTTTCCCTTTTTTCCCACCCGGGCTGGGCCAGGCTCCGCTGGCCGCTTCCCATTCATCTCCTCCCAAGGTACAGCACCACGCCACAGACGCTACTTTCCTGAGGGGACTACAATTCCCGGCATGCCTCCTTTACTGTGTTTCCAATGGGACTCACCAAAGTAAGAGGAGGCGGAACCTAAACCCGGTTTACCAATGGGAGCTCCATCCCACCAGCTATTGGCCCAATGGCGCTCGGTCTGGCAGGCCACCTCCTCTCTACTTCCTGCCGCCAGAGGCTCCGGGTTCACTTCCGGCGTGCCTACGCCTCCTCTTGCGCTCTCCTGTTAATGGCGGGCGGTAGCCGCTGAGGGGGTTGCAGATAACCGCTTCCCACACCGGGAAAGTCTCCCCTGCCTCCCACTTTCTGCTCGCCGCCAGCGCCGGAGCTCGCCAGCATGTCTGTGGTACCGCCCAATCGCTCGCAGACCGGCTGGCCCCGGGGGGTCACTCAGTTCGGCAACAAGTACATCCAGCAGACCAAGCCCCTCACCCTGGAGCGCACCATCAATCTGTAAGTGCGGGGCGGCCTTGGCGGGCATTTCTCTCGTGAGCGCTCCTACAGACTCTCCCGCGCGTCCCCGGCTTTTCGGCGTGCTTCACGCCTCCGCACCTCCCAACCTCCAACTCCCGCTGGCGGATGCGCGCCTTCCTCGCTCCCTCAGGCCCCTTTCTCATCCTCCTGCCTTCGGGAGTTAGAGTCCTTTTCTGAAAGGAAGGCTTGTTCCCATCCTATGTATTCGGTCATAATGGGGAAAAACGGAGTTTGCTTTTAACTCATCCTTTCCCCACCTCTCCAGAGGTAACCAACTTCAAAATGTGTGTGTGTGTTTTATCCTTCCAGTGAAATGTTTATGCTTTGGCATCACGTATATGGTATTGCTTTGTGATTGTTGATGTGATACGAATGGTATAACCTAGTATCATTTTTGCACATTTCACTCTGACAGTAAGCTTTCGAGATCCAGCTTAATGCCTAGGTCTAGTTTTTTTCCTTTTAATTGCTACTTAAATATTTCAGTTTATGAATACAACACATGTTATTCATGTGCTCAGGGCTGTCTGCCCTGCCCCATACCTTATGCCTTCGTGTCGTCTGATGATGTCTTAACGCCAGCATCCCAGGCACCCCAAGTAGGCCCCTCCTTGGGAGTAAGGATGCTGCTATGGTTGGGCTTTCAGACTGGAGGGAACCAGAATGTTTGTACCAGAAAACCCATTGTGGGCTGTGTTTTATTTTCAACACCTTTCCGTTTCAACACTTGAAACCGTTGCATTTCAAGGTCACTCTTAGCAGCAGACTCGCTGTAGCAGGTAATTGACGTTTGAGGTGTCTGAAGAAATTGTCAGTAATGCTTTTTAAAATCGTGTCTGAGGATTTGTTTTCGAGGCAACGTGGTGCCTCTATTTTCCTGATGGAGGAAAGTGGCCAGTGTATGCCAGTCTGTGTACAAGTGCAAGGATTTGGTGGTATTGATGTTTTCGTAAGGCAGTTTAGGTGTTTCTCTTGTTTTATATTAAAATAAATGGACGTTCTCTCTCCGTCCCCCAACCAAAAGTGATTTGAAGTTGAAAAGATGGTTAACATTGTTTTATTTTGTAAAATGTGTTGGCTTGGAAATTTAGATGATGGAAATGCTGGGTTTATAAAATCTGGAATTAGTCGATAGTTGTGTGTATAAGAGTCCTCAGGAGTGGCGGCTCAAGACTGTAATCCCAGCACCTTGGGAGGCCGAGGTGGGAGGATCACTTGAGGCCGGGAGTTGTAGACAAGTCTGGGCAACATAGGCTGTCTCTACAAAAATGTTTTTAAAAATTAAGAAAAAAATCCATCAAATGGTAAAGGCAAATGTTATCCTTTTTAAAAGTATGAAAGCATAGCTTCTGGGTTACTTTCAGTGGTGATTAGAGCTAAAACCCACAGTCTTTTCTTGTTTTGTCTTGATTACTGAATTAATTTGCATCAAGCCATTATGTAGAATTAACTTGGCAAAATAGTTAGCTTTCAGCAAGATTTTAATCTTCGCTCTATTAAAATTATGGTTGATTTACAGTACATTTCTTCTCCTGTATAAATATAAATATTCAGAAATAATCATTGTGTTGTGAACTTAAGTTCACTTGAGTTAATATTAAGTTGAAAACAAATGCACTCTCCCCAGTATATTTTCTTTCAGGAAATATTGCATGAATGCCTACTTTGTGCCAGGCACTGTGCACAATACTGGATATACAGTGGTGAGGAAGTAAGGTGTAGCCCCTGCTTTATGAAGCTTACAGTATGATGAGAACAATATGTATGTCTGGGCTGGCACTCTGATTTCACAGGTGAAAATTCTAACATTTCATCTTGACATCTCTTTACTGATCTATTGGAGCTGGCTCTTGCAACAGAGATGTGTAATGGCTATCCTTAATTCTTTCTAACTGAGGTTGTGAGAATTAAATGTTAATATATGTAAAGCGTTTAAAAAAATTGCCTGGCACATCGTGCTGTGTAGCATATCTGCTGCTGCTATGGATGATGGTGTTAGATTTAGCATTGGGTCTACTGGGGACGTTCTTTAAATCTTTAAAGCATCCTTGAAATGGTATATTTTAATTGTTTTATAGCTTTTTCATATGCCTAGAACTTGGCTTCTGGAATTAAAGTAATTTTTAAAGTTTTGGCAGCCTTGATTTGTTCCCCTTTCAAGAATGGCTGAGTGTAGTAGATGCCATAATGTTGACTATTAATGTCAAGGGCTTTTGGTAGAATAGATACTATAGGTGGGCAAATGTGGCCTAAATTCTTACTCAAAGGCTTCTTGCTGTAAGGCTTTAATTAAGGGCGTACGACATATAAGTATGGAATTTTTAAGTATCTTTAAAGGAAAATTTGATCCTTATTAGGCAAGATGAAAACTGTCTTTAACAGTTTGAGCCATATTTTAAATTCTTGGTAAAGAGGTGGGTAGAAGATTCAGATGAGGAGAAGGAAACAATAAGGAGACTGAATAGAATAAATGCCCAAGGCTAGTAAATAGGTTTAGAGGACAAAAAGAGAAAGTAGAAGAGTTGCTGTGAAAAGGAAAGGCTGTGGTGCAAGAAAAATCTGAGGATAGTTGACTGAGAGAAATAGAAAATAACTGGAGGGATGTTGATGAAAAGTGGTGGCTTAGTTTTAGAAAAAAGAGATTGGCCATTAGCACCCATAATTAAAACTTTCTGATTAGATTAGTAGTCAGAGGAATGCAGGGGGACATTAATTATTAGCCAAATTGGTCTTGTTGGAATAGCAGCCATGGTCTAAAACCAGAAGATTATTAATGTTCAGATAACCATTTCTCTAAGCATTTAAGGATAGTGTTATCTACACTTGAAAGTTAAAGTATGGAGGAGCAGCTTGATCTCATGGAAGCTCTGGCTTTAAGAGTCCAGAGACCAAGATTCCAATCTCTACTGTCTCATTAACTTTAGTTATGTAACTGTACAAATCCTGTGTCTCTGAGTACAACATATGCACTTTTTTTTTGTACTGTGGTTTCTTTATGCTAATGTCTGTCATGGTAAATTATATTCTTCAGTTCTCATGTTAGATGTTTGTCTTTGGATCACAGGTACCCTCTTACCAATTATACTTTTGGTACAAAAGAGCCCCTCTATGAGAAGGACAGCTCTGTGGCAGCCAGATTTCAGCGCATGAGGGAAGAATTTGATAAAATTGGAATGAGGAGGACTGTAGAAGGGGTTCTGATTGTACATGAGCACCGGCTACCCCATGTGTTACTGCTACAGCTGGGAACAACTTTCTTCAAACTGTAAGTAGTGTTGGAAATTAACAGCAAGACAGGTTTTAGTAGGATTGCTGTTTATGCAGCTGTGGACTACAATTTTAGCCCTCGGTCATTTATTTCAACAAACACTGCTGTTAATGATGTCTTTAGAAAGAGAAAATCACGAGTAATTTTTCTCCATTGCGGTGCTCATTTATTTTCCTAACTAGTAATCTGCGTGTTTCTATATGTTGTCGATGTTAGTGATTGAGCTTGGTAGAAACCCTGTGGAATAGTTGAGTTCAAGATCAATGTCTAGATGTCATTGTAGCATCACCAAGAACAATTGATATTTCTTTCTTGGTATGATTTGCGTTTCCTATTCTTAAGGTGACTTAGGTTTTTGTGAATAACAGTTTATTTTTTTGTCATTTAAGCTCCTGCATCTCTCAAACATTTGATCCACAACTATTTGACTAGATTATACCAAAAAGAAAGGTCTCCAATACTTAGATGGCGCTCTTGAAAAAGTGTCCCATTGTTTAGGCCTAAAGAATATGATCCATTCCTCTCTGGGCATTTCTAGACTCCATTATCATCAGATAGCTGCCAGAGACGAGATTGGGATGGACTGGTGGTTAGCAATTTTGTTTATGTTTGTGCTATGTTATATATTCTGTTGGTTTAAAACTAGGGTTTATGTGATGGGTACATATGGACATAAAGTTGGAAAAAATGAACACTGTATACTCCAAAGGTGGGGAGGGGGAGGGAGAGGTGAGGGTTGAAATACTTCCTGTTAGATGTTATGTTCACTGTTTTGGTGATGGGTTCACTAGAAGCCTAAACCTTACCATTACACAATATACCTATGTAATAAACTTGTACATGTACCCCTTAAATCGACAATAAAATAAAAATAAATATATATAAAGAGGAAAAAAACCTAGGGTTTGTATACTGTTAGTCTGGGGAATTGACATGAATTCAAACATATTCTCCCCCTTCACTTTGATACTTGTTTTGATTGCCTTATTACACTGAAATATGTTACTTAGTGACTTGATAGACATAACATTTATTGTGTTCTTTGTTATCTCGAAATTGCATTAAGTTGAAAGCTGAAATTCTTAACTTTTATACAGACCTGGTGGTGAACTTAACCCAGGAGAAGATGAAGTTGAAGGACTAAAACGCTTAATGACAGAGGTATTTTTCTGTTTAACCTAACTTTGCATACCATCAACTTAATAGTTAATTTGGCTTTTAATGTCTTGTAAAAAGGATGTTTATTTTGGAATACTGAGTTTTCAATAAATACAACTTAAACCCCAGAATGTTAGTATAATGTTGATTTTTTTTTACAAGTTGAACTTACACTTACTTCAATTTTTAAAATGTTAAACTGTGTCACAGCAATGATAAAAACTGACATTTAAGTATTACTGTGCTAGACACTGTTCTAAGTGCTTTACATGTGCTAATTCCTTTAATCACCACAACTCTAGGAAGCAGATATTATTAAGTTTAAATTACTTCTTGTTATATAGCTAGTGTGTTATAGAGCTAGAGGTTTGAATGCAGGTAGTTTTGTTCAAGAGTAGGCCTCTATGGAATTTTGAAAAGAGAAAGATGCCTGTGTTTTCACTTTTTTCACATATTTTTTAGACTTTGCCCAAATTATTCTACTTTTAAAAAATCATTGTAATGCCTGCATGTAAAGACTTGGGGCCAAATGCATAGGTACTGAGGATTTTGAGACTGTAAGTTGTTTTCAATGCTAGTTTTCTTCTTTAACATGCAGTTGCCGCCTGCCCCCTTTACAAAACTCATACATTCTCTGTGCAAAAAGCTTGGCAAACACAGAAAAGCAAAGGAGAAACAAAACTAAAGTCACCTGTAATTCTCCTACTTTTGACCTATTGGTTTGTCTTTCTAGTATTTCTAAAAATGTATTATAACTCTTAAACATTTACTGTGCTTGGACTTCCATTTATGTAATGTCTGGTACAAAGATATAAGTGCAGTAGGATTGAGGGAGTGCAAAATGAGAGACTCACAAAAGCAAAATTTTTGGAAACTGGAAAACAGATGGGCAAATTATAACTAACTTGGCAGAAACCTTAGTCCAACAGACAGGCAGGCAGAATCCAACATTGCAGAGTACCAGAATGACTGAGGAACTGAAGGTGCTAGGTACTTATGAAAGTGGGGGCATGCATGGGTTGAAAACTGGACTGGTTCAATGTATATATGAAGTATATTTATACAGGTTGAGTATTCCCTGAGAGCTTGGGACCAGAAGTGTTTAGCTACTATTTGATAGCACAATAGGGTGACTATAGTCAGTAATCACTTAATTGTAAATTTTAAAATAACTAAAAGAGTATAATTGGATTGTTTGTAACACAAAGGATAAATGCTTGAGGGGGTGGATACCCTGTTCTCCATGATGTGAATATTACGCATTGCATGCGTATATCAAAACATCTTGTGTACCCCATACATATATACATCTGCTATATATGCAAAAAAATTTTAAAAACAGTGATTAGGATTTGGGATTTTTTTTCAGGTTTTGGAATATTTGCATTATGCTTACCAGTTAAGCATCCCATATACAAAACTTGAAATGCTCCAGTGACCATTTCCTTTTTTTTTTTTTTTTTCTTCTTGAGACGAAGTCTCTCTCTTGTCACCCAGGCTGGAGTGCAATGGTGTAATCTCGGCTCACTGTAACCTCCACCTCCCGGGTTTAAGCGATTCTCCTGCCTTACCCTCCCCAGTAGATGGAATTATAGGCACCTGCCACCATGCCTGGTTAATTTTTGTAGTTTTAGTGGAGACGGGGTTTCACCATGTTGGCTAGGCTGGTCTGGAACTCCTGACCTCAGGTGATCCGCCTTCCTTGGCCTTCCAAAGTGCTGGGATTACAGGCGTGCGCCACCACACCCGGCCTGAGCATTTCCTTTGAACATCATTTCAGTGCTCAAAAAGTTTGAGATTTTGGAGTTTCAGACTGGGATGTTCAATCTGTGTATCTAGATTGTCTTCCCCACTCTGTAATTAGGCAAAGACTGGCTGATGATTGATTCTCTGTAGTAATTGAATCAGAGAACAGCTAGCAATGAAAAAAGTTTAGGGGATGGGGAAGAATAAGCAAGAGTTCCCATTCTGAATAGTCAGACTCTTGGACTTCTATTAGGCTGACAGGATGTTAACAATTGGGCTTATTTTAAAAAAATTTTTCTTGAGTCAGAGTTTTGCTCTTGTTGCCCAGGCTGGGGTGCAGTGGTGTGATATCCAATGTGAGCAATGGTCGCTCACAGCAACCTCTGCCTCCTGGGTTCAAGCGATTCTCCTGCCTCAGCCTCCAGAGTAGCTGGGATTACAGGTGCCCACTGCCATACCCAGCTAATTTTTGTATTTTTAGTAGAGATGGGGTTTCACCATGTTGGCCAGGCTGGTCTCAAACTCCTGACTTCAGGTGATTTGCCTGCTTTGGCCTCCCAGAGTGCTGGGATTATAGATGTGAGTCACCGTGCGCGGTCTAAGCTTATTTATTTTTTTTAGAGACAGGGTCTCTGTTCCTCAGGCTGGAGGACGGTGGTGTGATCATAGCTCACTGTAACCACAAACTCCTGGGCTCAAGCAATCTTCCTGCCTCAGCTTCCTGAGTAGCTAGGACTGCAGGTATGTGCCATGATGCCTGGCTAATTAAAAAAAATTTTTTTATAGAGATGAGATCTTGCTATGTTGCCCAGGCTGGTCACAAACTCCTGGCCTGAAGCAGTCCTCCCATCTCAGCCTCCCAAAGCATTGGGATTACATGCATGAGCCACCAGGCCCAGCCAACAATTAGATTTATATATCCCAGGCTGAGGGTTGGAAATCTTGTTTCTGGGAAAAGTGACCAGTCCAAGAAAAACTTCAGATACTGCCATTTTGGAGCTGTCTTAGTCTGTTTAATATTGCTATAACAGAATACCTGAGGCTGGGTAATTTATAAAGAAAAAGATTTATTTGGCTCACCAGTTGCGGTGGCAAGATTGGGTAGCTGGCGAGGGCTTCGTGCTGCTTCCACTCATGGTAGAAAGCAAAATGGGAGTGGGCATGTGCAAAGAGATGACATGGCAAGGGAGGAAGCAAGAGTGAATCCGGGAAGCTACACTCTTGAACAACCCAGTCTCCAGGGAACTAATCCATTCCTGATGGCAGAAGGGTATTAAAACTATTAATGAAGGGTCCACCTCCATGACTTAAACACCTTCCACTAGGCCCTGCCTGCCAACACTGTCACATTGGGGATCAGATTTCAGCATGAGTTTGGGGGCAGGGAGACAAACCATATCCAAAACAAAGCAAGAATTTTCTATAGAAATAATGTAGTCCTGGACCGGGCACAGTGGCTTACATCTGTAATCCCAGCACTTTGAGAGGCCGAGGTGGGTGGATCACGAGGTCAGGAGTTAGAGACAGCCTGACCAACATGGTGAAACCCCGTCTCTACTAAAATAAAAAAAAATTAGCCGGGCGTGGTGGCGGGTGCCTGTAATCCCAGCTACTCAGGAGGCTGAGGCAGAAGAATCAGTTGAACCCAGGAGGTGGAGGTTGCGGTGAGCCGAGATTGCGCCACTGCACAGCACCCTGGGCAACAGAGCAAGACTTCGTCTACAAAAAAAAAAAAGAAAAAAATATTGTAGTCCTGTCACTCATGCACACAGAGGTGACAATTAAGCCTCTTGTTGCTTCTACCTTGTGAGTACACAACCAAATATCACCAGGCTTTTGGAGAAAACTTCTTAACAATAAAGAGATCAAAAGAAGCAAAAGGACCTTAACAGAAGCAGTAAATTCAACCACTGACAAAACTGTGATTAATATTCTTGGTTAAATAAGAGGAGATTTTGCACCTGTGAAACAGTGCTGTTAAAAAGGCATTTTAGCCAACAAAAACCTCATGGATATTTTAAAAAATGTTGGAAGAAATAAAAAATTCAGTAAAAAGTTAAGAGTTTTATTCTACCAGAAAATAGAATGAAAAGATGATAGAATGTAGGTAAGAAAAGATAAAATTAGTGGGTCATTCTAGAAGGACCAATATAAACTACAGATAAATAGAACAGAGTAAAGGAAGAATTAGTAAAGCATAATTGGAGAAAATTTCTCAAACCTCAAAGAGCATGAGTTTTTAGATTGAAAAGGCCTACTGGCCTTGCTTCTATAGTGAATGTTTAAAGATCCATGCAAAGGCATGTCATCATGAAATTTTAGATCCTACAAACAAATAAAAACAAAAAGATCCTAAAAGCTTCCAAAGTGGCAGGTGGAGGATTGGTAAGTAGAGAGGTTAAATGCAAAACATCAAAATCAGAAATTGCATTAAACTCCCCAGAAATAATTCTGGAAGCTAAAGGATGGTGGAGTGTTGTCTTTGTGATTTTGAGAGACTATGATCTCTGTCCAAGAATTTTCTAATCAAACTATAAATCAAATGTGTGGGTAAAAGTTATTTCTGGACATGCAGAGTTTCAAAAAGTTTTATCTCTTGTACCTTTTCTCAGGAAGCTACTAGAGGGTGTTCACCCCCAAACTGGAATAAAATAAGAAGATAGAGAATTTAGAAATATTAAGATCTAACAACATAGGAGAGAGACCAAGAGAAACCCTAGGACTCCAGCTGGGAAGCAGGGTTGAGACTATCAAGTACAGATTACAGCAGGATGATAGAAAAAACGTGTCTTAGGCTGGGTGTGGTGGCTCATGCCTGCAATTTCAGCACTTAGGGAGGCCAAGATGGGCAGATCACTTGAGCCTAGGAGTTTGAGACCAGCCTTGGCAACATGGCAAAAAATTAGCCTGGTGTGGTGGCTTGCACCTGTAGTCCCAGCTACTCGGGAGGCTGGGGGACAGGGGAGGCTGAGGTGAGGGAAGCACTTCAGCCCATGAGGTGGAGGTTGCAGTGAGTGGAGATCACACCACTGCACTCCAGCGTGGGTGACAGAGTGAGATCTTGTCTTGAAAAAAACAAAAACATGTCTTAGAAAAGATGAAATTAATAGAATAACTGACAATTGATATTTGAATTGAGAAGAAATTTAAATTCTCGTGGAGAATGTGGGAAATGAATTTAGTGATAGCAAAGGAAATGAAAGTTATTAACTAAAGAACAGGAAGATTGAACAAGTGAGGAGATATGGTTACTCTGTTGTGACTAATCTACCTGATCATACTAACTTAAATACTGAATGTTGACTTAACCAAATATTGATAATGGGAAGATGCTGGAAGAAAAAGTATAACTAGGTCATGTGATTTTAATATCTAAATTCTCATTCATAGTAGAGGGTTATAGGCTTTTAAAAAAGTTTTTAAAATGAAAATCTGGTCGCGGTGGCTCACGCCTGTAATCCCAGCACTTTGGGAGGCCGAGGTGGGTGGATCATGAGGTCAAGAGATTGAGACCATCCTGGCCAACATGGTGAAACCCCATTTCTACTAAAAATACAAAAAAGCCGGGTGTGGTGGCAGGCACCTGTGGTCCCAGCTACTCCGGAGGCTGAGGCAGGAGAGTCCCTTGGACCCGGGAGGTGGAGGTTGCAGTGAGCCGAGATTGCACCACTGCACTCCAGCCTGGGCAACAGAGCGAGACTCTGTCTCAGAAAAATAAAATGAAAATGAAAAATCAAGAAACCGTCATAAAAGAATAATTTGGCTGGGCATGGTGGCTCACACCTGTAATCCCAGTGCTTTGTGGGGCTGAGGCCAGAAGATTGCTTGAGGCCAGGAGTTATAGTGAGCCATGATTGCGTCACTGCGCTCCAGCCTGAGTGACAGAGCAAGACCCTATCTCTTAGAAAAATGTGGTTTTGAGGCCCTGCACAGTGGCTCATGCCTGTAAGCCCAGCACTCTGGGAGACTGAGGCGGGCGGATCATCTGAGGTCAGGTGTTTGAGACCAGCCTGAACAACAGGGTGAAACCCCGTCTCTACTAAAAAGACAAAAAATTAGCTGGGCATGGTAGTGTGTGCCTGTAATCCCAGCTACTCACGAGGCTGAGGCAGGAGAATCACTTTAACCTGGGCGGCAGAGGTTGCAGTGAGCCGGGATTGTGCCATTGCACTCCAGCCTGGGCAACGAGCAAAACTCTGTCTCAAAAAGAAAAAAAAAAAGTTTTGAAAAATATGACTTTACATTGAAGAAACCTGATAAACAGTACCTCAGCCAGGTGATTGATGTTGGCATTAGTGATAAGCCACATTGATGCAGCGTGTACCCTTGATATGATGGTGATGAGAATGGCCCTTTTACCTCTGTATTTTTCTTCCCAAAAGCTCATAACCTCAGTTAATTGAGGGATGTTTTACAAAATACTTGACCAGTGTTCCTCAAAACTATATCAAGATCATCAAAAACAAGGAAAGTATGAAAAGCTGTCACAATGTAGAGGAACCTCGGAAGAAATGAAGATTAAGTGTAATATGGCATCTTAGATGGGATCCTGGGACTGAAAAATGAAAAAGGACATTAGGTTAAAGATTACGGATATCTGAATAATACATGGACTTCAGTTAATAACCTTGTCTTGGTATTGGTTGATTAGTTTGACAAATGTGCCTTACTAATGTGAGATGTTAACAATAGGGGAAACTGGGTGTGGGGTATATGGGAAGTCTCTGCTCAAGTTTTGCAAGTTTTCTGTAAATCTAAAACTACCCTAAAATAAACCGTTTATTTAAGACCAAGAAGAATGCTTTAAAAATAGAAGCAAACGGGAAAAACAACCAAGAGTTGAAAGTTATAGCCAGTGGGAATGGGTGAAGCAGGACAGAGAACTGCAGTTTCTCACCATGAACATTGTGGAACTGTTTTTGGCAACTTAAAATATATAGAGTATGACTTTGATTAAAATAAGTTTAATGTTCTGCTATACAAATTAATAAAAATGAAAGTTGAATTTTGAACACAGTTTTTATGTTAATACTAGCTTGCCAATTTTGAACTAATATTGTATGTCTTGGGCAGAGCGACATCTATAACAACAGATTATAGAGATGAAGTCTATATGGAAGGCATATTATCCCTTTGTCTCTATTAGGAGCACTGCTAAGAATTTTCTTTTCACTGAAGAAGGGGATTCGTGAGTGCATATGTTTAGTTGTTCACTGGCTGTCTTATTTCTTTTTGACAGATACTGGGTCGTCAGGATGGAGTTTTGCAAGACTGGGTCATTGACGACTGCATTGGTAACTGGTGGAGACCAAATTTTGAACCTCCTCAGGTTAGTGTTCAGTTATATTTGCTAGGCATTTTGGAAGCAGAAAGCTCATTTAATTCTAGCCACTTTAAAAAAGATTAAAGTAGAATTTGACTTGAAATTTTCTTTTCTTCCCTCCTTAATTTAAATTACAAAATTAAGCCAAGCACTTCTTATTTTAAAGGAAAATGTAAAACAAATACAAGGCTGGGCGAGGTGGCTCATGCCTGTAATCCCAGCACTTTGGGAGGCCAAGGTGGGTGGATCACCTGTTGAGGTCAGGAGTTTGAGACCAGCCTGGCCAACATGGCGAAACCCCATCTCTACTAAAAAATATAAAAATGAGCCGGGTTTGGTGGTACAAACCTGTAATCCCAGCTACTCAGGAGGCTGAGGCAGGAGAATTGCTTGAACCTGGGAGGCAGAAGTTGCAGCGAACCGAGATCGTGTCGCTGCACTCCAGCCTGGACAACAGAGCGAGACTCCTTCTCAAAATAAATAAATAAATAGAACAAATACGAAAGAAGAGAGAATGGTAAAAGTGAATGACTTGCGTTACGGTAAAAGTGAATGACTTGCGTTACCCGTTATCTGCCTTTAACAGTTAGCACATCACAGCCCCTTGTTCCACCGCACCATTCTCCTGCCCTTATCTTGGATTATTTTGAAGCGTATCCTAGCTATTCATTTCAATTGTAAATATTTCATTGTGAATCATAAAAGATAAGGATCTCTTTAAAAACAACCGTAGTTCTGTCATTATCATACTAAAACAATTCCATATTATTGTCAAATATATAGTCACTGTTCACATATCCTGATTATTTCAATTTTCTTTTTATAATTTGTTTGGATTAGGATAGTCTCTCAAGTCTCTTTTACACAGTTGGCACCTTTTTTCCCCTTGTATTTTATTTGTTAATGAAAATAGGCTAATGTTTCCATTCCGATTGCATTCCCCTGTTGTTGTTGAATATGTAGTTATTTCCCCTGTGTGTCATGCAAATTGATAGTTAGATTGAGAAATTGTATTCAGGCTCAGTTAATTTGGGGAGGGGTAACAAGGCTTGTGTAGGTGGTATGTTATCTATTGCTGCATAACAAATTACCTCAAAATTTAGCAGCCTTTCGGCCTCTGGGAGTTGCTTAGGGTGGTTCTGGCTTAGGCTCTCTCATGAAGTTACAGTCAAGTTGTCAGTTGGGACTGCATCATAAGGCAGAACTGGGGTTAAAGTATCTGATCTCGAGCTTACACTTGTGTGTTAGCAGACTTCTCGGTTTCATCTGGGCTGTTAGACTAAAGCTTTGCTTCAGGTGTTGCTGGCTGTTGTCTCAAGGTCTCCCTCAGTTCCTTGCCATGAGAACATCTCTAAAAGGACAACTCTCAGGCAGCTGGCTTCCCCCAGGCTGTGTGATCCAAGAGATAGTGAGAGACAGAGTGCTAGAGGAGTGCCCAAGTAGGAACACTTAGTCTGCGATAACCTAATCTTGGCAGTGGCATACCATCACTTCTGCAGTATGTTGTTGGTCACACAAGCCAACCCTGGTACACTGTAGGAGGGACTATACAAAGCAGTGAATACCAGGAGACAGGAGTCATTGGGGGTCATCTTACAGCAGTCTACCACAAGTGGTATAGTGTACTTCCATCAGGAATTTAAAAATATTTGGTTGTCTCTTTTTATAATGTTAGCAGCTCATTGATGATCATTTCCTGGTCTATGAATTCATAAGGGTTGTGATCCTCATGTAAAAAGAAACTTATGTACTACTGAAGTATGTGGTTTGTGTAGAAAAAAATATATATGCTGCTTTTCCTTTACTTAACATTTTTCAGAAGAATGATTTAATTCCTTACCATCATCTAAAGACTTGACTTTATTCAAAAGAGAGGATAAGACCAAGACTTGGGTACAGGCAATTTGAGAGGTGATTCCAGGAAGCAGCAGAATACAGGGAGAGTGAGACCAGAAGCAGCAGAAGTAAGACAGGGCATGTTACTGATCTTTTTACACCTGTGGGCAACTGGGTTTGTTTTGTTAAGGACTGGGAACCATGTGGAATGTACTTCATAATTGTCTGTCAGAAAGATAGATGGCTAGGGACTCCTATCCCCCATGGGATAATGAACTCCCTTGCACTTCCATGTTGAGTCTGATTGCTTGTTGAGACAGTGGCAGCAAACAGGGAACTCTCTGATACCTTTCAAACATAGCTGCCCTAAAATCGGAGGTAGTGTAATGGGGGCACACATACACAAAAAAACATGTTTCATTGACCTTCAAAGGGTCAGTATGATCTTTTGGATTTAAATAATTTGAAATATTTTAATCCACGATAATGAGTGATAATGTTACTGATGCTCAAATATTCCTATTTTTGCTAATGGTGGAACTTCTTAAAGTTGAATCCTGAATTCTTTAGGCAAATTAAAAAGCCCTATGACTTTATAGCTACTTTACATGACAAGATGTTTCAGGTCAAGCGCTGCACAAAATACCAACCAAGCAAAAGACTGTTCTTTTTCTCTTGCTTCTGACTCCCTTGTATGGCAGAGGGACAGGAAGATAGGAGCTGTGGAAGCTGATGCTGGTGTTCACTAAGAATTGCCAGGAACACATCTTGGCTTTAAGGAAGAACAATTTCATATGGAAACAGTGAAGTTACTTGTTCAAAGATACATAGTACAATTATTCTAAACTTTTTTCGGCTTTCTGAACATCCCTTGATCTAATTGAAAAATCCTTAATAGTGACCCCAGTCATTTTCCAGATAACTTTTCTGAATATCCTCACTCATCTCCCCTACCATTGTCCTAGGACAGTTCCCTTCATTCACTAAAGCCTAGAGTTTGCCCTGGTGGTATTCGATATAAGGTAAGTGTATTGATTTATTTAGGAAGCCTAGAGTGTTAGTTAGGTGTCAGTGGAAAAGGAGCCTATCATCTCCCTATCTCAGTCTTTTTGTATAAACTACAGTCGACTTAAACATTAAGACCAGAGAAGAAAGGCTTAAAAAAATAGGAACACGTAGCCTTGACAGCAGAGGAAATTTGGGGAAATGCTACTCATTTTGTTTGGTCATGGTTTGGGAACTTTTGTTGTATGCGATCCACAGATCTCTTAGCTTGTGCTGTTCAAGCCACTTCTCACTTCTCTGCGACTGTTATTGTTATTTCATGACAGTTTAAGGAACCTCCAAAGCCTGGGACAATTGCCTCAATTCATTGTACCCTAGGGATGGCTCTGGTATATAATTATTCTAACTGGAATACTGGTTAGGTGCCAATGAGTAACATAGTGGAAAATAACATAGGCTTTTATAATTAGATAAGAGTTGAATAGATACAGTTAAATCTTGGCTTCACAACTTGGCTGAGTAATCTTGGGAAAGATACTTAGCCTCTCTTAGCCTGCGTTTCTATGTAAATTGAGGATGATGCTAATACCTCCTTTTGGCAGCTTCTGCTTTTATCTCACTTTCCCCTTTTATCTGTTTTCAGCAATTTTAAATTCCCCCGCTCAAATACAACTCCAACAGCAAAAGTAGATTTCTCAGTGTATTGTGGAGAGATTTATACAAGAATTGTATAACCCTTAGACTTTTTTTTTTTGTTCTCTGTGTCAGAATTTTTCCTTCCCGGGTAGCAACTTCCCTCTCTGATTCTCTTCATCCCTTTAAATTCTCTAAATTTCATCGAGTAAAATGGCTTTGGCTTTGCCCATCTGGCAAAACTTCATTTAGACTGCTCTTCTGGTATTCCTGAAGCATGCACCCTGGGATACGGACGGGGAGGTTTGAGGTTGGGCTGGGAGGAGGAGCAAGAAGCATCTTGTCAAATGCCTCACAGGCTATATTTGAATTTTTAATGTAGTAAACAGGTCTACATCAGGATTCTAGACTGTTTAACGTACTGATACATACATATATATGTATATATGATGATGATGATTTTTTTTTTTTTTTTGACACAGAGTCTCGCTCTGTTGCCCAGGCTGGAGTGCAGTGGCACAGTCTCAGCTCACTGCAAGCTCTGCCTTCTGGGTTCATGCCATTCTGCTGCCTTAACCTCACGAATAGCTGGGACTACAGGTACCTGCCACCATGCCTGGCTAATTTTTTGTATTTTTAGTAGAGACGGGGTTTCACCGTGTTAGCCAGGATGGTCTCAATCTCCTGACCTCATGATCTGCCTGCCTCGGCCTCTCAAAGTGCTAGGATTACAGGCGTGAGCCACAGTGCCCAGCCTATATATATTTTTTTAAAAAAAAAAAACAAAATAGCTTTTAGGCTAGGCATGATGTCTCACACCTGTAATCCCAGCACTTGGGGAGGCCGAGGCAGGCGGATCACCTGAGGTCGGGAGTTCAAGACCAGCCTGGAGAAACCCTGCCTCTACTAATAATACAAAATTAGCCGGGCATGGTGGCGCATGCATGTAATCTCAGCTACTCAGGAGGCTGAGGCAGGAGAATCACTTGAACCCGGCAGGCGGAGGTTACAGTGAGCCGAGATTGCACCATTACACTCCAGCCTGGGCAACGAGAGCGAAACTCTGTCTCAAAAAAAAAAAAGAAAGAAAGAAAAACCAAAAAACAAACAAACAGAAGCCTTTATTAAAGATACTAATTAAATCAGACTTCATTATGTTGTAAGTATCTGAAGCTATAAATCCTGTGACTACATATTTTATCTTGAATGGTTGACTGGTTTACTGCTTGTTATTTTATATGCATTAAAGCATTTATTTACTAGTGTATCTGTTAGATAAGTTCGGTAAAGAGAACAGAAAGTAGTATGCTTCCCCCAACAGTTTATAACTATACTGGGGAGTAAGCATGTAAAGAAATGAAGCCATGGAATACATGTTAAAGTTGTATTCATTTGTAATTTCAGTATCCATATATTCCTGCACATATTACAAAGCCTAAGGAACATAAGAAGTTGTTTCTGGTTCAGCTTCAAGAAAAAGGTAAGTTATTTTGTTTTCGAAGGTAACCATCTAAAAACTTCTGTACAGTAATTTCAAGGATACCTCTATTTGTGTTTTCGCAAAGTTCCTTGAATTTTGGGGTTTATTGTAAAACTAAAAATACATACCATGCTTTTAGTTTAAAATCTGTGACTAGGAAATGTACCTTAAAAGACATAACCAAAATGTGTTAATGAGATTATCTTTTTTCTTAAACTTTTTGTTAAATGTAAAATTGGTAATTAATTTAAAAATGAAATGGAAGCAGTGATTATATAAGAACTTATAATAATGAATTCTGTTTTATTTTAGCCTTGTTTGCAGTCCCTAAAAATTACAAACTGGTAGCTGCACCATTGTTTGAATTGTATGACAATGCACCAGGATATGGACCCATCATTTCTAGTCTCCCTCAGCTGTTGAGCAGGTACAGAAAGTTGAACATTTTTTGGTTCATCCATATTAACTGTAAAATTTAAAATATTCTGAGCCACTTGAGAAGGTATGGTTCATGAATTTTGGTCTTTAAGGAAACTAAGAAAGTAGTCTCCTAGGTCATGTGCAAGCCATAGATGAATTGTGACTAATACCATTCCCAGACTATTAAGTTTCGGCATGACATTCTGGTATTTGTGCAAATGCTCTTCCCTAATTCTGATATTCTCAAGAGTTAAGGTTGATGTCTTTATTCAAAGAAGAGATGGTTAAATAGCAGTCAACAGTGTGTAAATATGAGTGGAGTTGTCTGTATAAAAATGTGGCAAATTGGTTGGATGCAGTGGCTCATGTCTGTAATCCCAGCACTTTGGGAGGCTGAGGTGGGTGTGTCACCAGGTTGGGAGTTCAAGACCAGCTTGGCCAAGATGGTGAAACCTCATCTCTCCTAAAAATACAAAAATTAGCCAGGCATGGTGGCCGGCGCCTGTAATCCCGGCTACTCAGGCTGAGGCAGAGAATTGCTTGAACCCAGGAGGCAGAGGTTGCAGTGAACTGAGATCGCGCAACTACACTCCAGCCTGAGTGACAGAGCGAGACTCCATCTAAAAAAAAAAAAAGGTGGCAAATTGAGTATCTTGGTGTAATATATTCTCTTTCCTTTTTTGAAACTTACTATATTTTGGCCTACATTGAGGCTTGTGGGATTAGGTCCTGAACTTTTACATGGGGTTTGAATCTTTAGGCAGTTAGAGTGATAAGAAATGCAGTTTTTAATTTTTTTAATTTTTTTATTTTTTGAGACGGAGTCTCACTCTGTTGCCCAGGCTGGAGTGCAGTAGCATGATCTCAGCTCACTGCAAGCTCCGCCTCCCGGGTTCACGCCATTCTCCTGCCTCAGCCTCCCGAGTAGCTGAGACTACAGGCGCCGCCACCACACCAGGCTAATTTTTTTTTTGTATTTTAGTAGAGACAGGGTTTCACCGTGTTAGCCAGGATGGTCTTGATCTCCTGACCTCGTGATCTGCCCGTCTCAGCCTCCCAAAGTGCTGTGATTACAGGCGTGAGCCACCGCGCCCGACCGAAATGCAGTTTTTTAAAAACTGACTTGTACTGGTTGAGGTCTCTATTAGAGCCAGCCATCGATAGGAATTGCAGAATAACATGGTGGTTATGAATGTAGATTCTGCAGTCAGTGTTTGGATTTGAATCACAATCTCAATACTTGCTGGCAGTGTGACCTTGGAACAAACTATTTTACCTATTTGACTGTTTCTTCATCTGTAAATGGGGATAGTAGTCTCTACTTCAGAGGATTGTGAGGACCAAGTGAAATAATGCATATAAAATGCTTACAACAGTGCCAGTAATCTGGTACGTACTTAATAAATGTTAGTGAAATTGGCCTTTTGTGAAAGCTTATTGAGTACGAAATTGCTCTTTCTACTTCGTCACTAATCAAACTTTATCTTTTGTCACTCCACTTGGGCCTCCTGATAGATTACAAGTTGAAATGCATATGGGGGAAAAAGAGTCGTATTATTTATTCAAACAGCCACTTGCCAAGTGCAGGATCTGTGCTGAGTAGTCAGAGTATAAGGACATGTAGAAACTTTTCCAGCATTAAGGAACTTATTAGTGAATAATTAATCAAATTTATAGTCTTAATTTTTTAATTATAAGTATTCAGCAATGGTGTTTTTAATGCATAAGATGTGACCAGTGAGAGAAAATTGGTGTAGAAAATGCCAAACGTGGTAAAAAGGCATTTGAAGGGGAAAAAAAGAAAATGCCAGACATGTTAAGAGAGGGTAGAAACATCCAGATAAATTTCTTTATCTTACGTGGAAAGTAGTATGTACTGTCTTTAATAAAGGTATTGTTCTTTTTAAAATTCAGGTTCAATTTTATATACAACTGAATTCCTGCGCAGTGGAGAAGTAAAAGAAGCCGCTTGTCTCTGTGAGCACAGCTATATACAGTGTAGAATAAATGTGGTAGAAAAGTTTTTTTGGTTTTATCTCTTTTGCGATCCCTAAATTGCCACCTACTTTCTTTTGTTTGAATAGTAAAATTAATATGAAGAACTAGATAGTGGAGTAAACAAATGTGATAATGTTGATTTACTTTTGGTTCTACTCATACTTTTTGTACAACGTTAAAGAAAATTGACTTTTTATTTTAATTTCTCAGTAAACTTCTAAAATTCTTGTAGGTAAGGATCATTTTTCCCTCCACCTTAGGATGGTGAATGTTACAACACAATGACAGGTTTAGGTCAGTCAAGTTTATTGAACCCTTGCTTTGATACCATTCTTGGGCACATACTCCAAGACTGTATTAGATTTTTATGATGAAGAGCTTCCATTACTTTTGAAAACTGTGTTTGTCTGATTGAGTCCAAGGTGCAACTCCTAAATGAATTGTGTTGCAGAGAACTCCCAATGTAATTCACTGGCCAGTACATTTTATAACCATCCAGGCCTTGGTTTGCAAGCAACAGACCTTAAACGTATAGGAAACTATTAAAAGTGGCTTGATTAGCAATCATAGGAATTGGTGTAAGAAGAGACTCATTTAGAGCTCAGAATTTTCTTCACATAATGGGGGTATTAATTATTTGTGCTGTTGCAAAATTATGTGTCTTAAAGCCATGGTAAAAATAGTGATCTGTGAAGGAAATTTCTAAAATTGGACATATTAGGTTTTGAACTCTGAGATTGCACAAATATTCAATTAACTTGAAGTTATGTACATAGAGAAGAAAATTTGGTTTTAGCAAATGACGGAGCCTTCGAAAATATTTTTGGAATAATGTGAATCAACCAAAAACTGGGGTAAGGCAGAGGACAGATTTTGTCAGGTTAAGAGAAAAATACGAAATTTTAAAAACTTTAAAAAGTACTGATAAATTCAGATCAAATTTGAGGGAATAAAAAATATTAGAGCAAAGGAGTTTGCTGGTTGTGTCGTTATTTAATGATCAAAGTGTAGTGTGTATGCCTTATTATAGACTTGACTGTAGGCTTAATGTAAAAAGGAATCTTGCCAGATGTAGCTACTTAAGGAAAAAAGGGTTTTTAATAGGAATGAACTTTTGATTAGTATGGTACCAGTCACAGGGCTATTTTCCTGAATATTGGGTGATGACAAAGGTATATGATACTTGAGAAAATCAGGCCAAGTGTAGCTGAGCAATTATATTAATAAACACTCAAGTGTTTTTAGTTGGGGTCTTGTCAAACCCTCACATGGTAGTTAAGTAGTGAGTAACTGTGCGTGTCCTTAGTGGTAGGTGAGTACCAGTCCCCATGACCAAAAATGCCCCCTGATTTCCTTTGAAAAAGCCACTAGTTCTGTGAATTGTCCTTTTCCCTCCTGCCCCTAACAGTCCTACCCCTCTAGCCTACATTAGCATATTTCTCATGTATTTTGCTGGTAAGCTCATCCATTAGCTGCATCCTTCAGCTATTCCTTTAGATTGGGGAGCAAGACCTTTAGATTGCAGGAAGTGGATATGAAGATGGATTGATTCAGCTCACCTTCCATGATTGCTTCTGAGGGAAAAGCTACAGTGGCCACATTTCAGATGTTCACTTTTGCAGTTTGGGGAGGATAGAGAGAGGTAGACTTTTTGTTGTGTGTTTTATAAAGTGCTCTCAGTAAGGAGTGTTTGAGTTGAAGAGTCATCTGATTCGAGGCCACTCATGTTCTTTTGTAACTTTGACAAATTCTTCACTTCCCACTTCTTCACTTCTTCCCAATATACAGTAAGTACATGAGCCAGTCATCCATACACTAAGGCCTAGTTGAGAAAAGCCTTTGATTCAGGATGGCTGGGTTACTAACCTTGGAATGTAAGAGATCTGGTTTTGAATGTAAAATTCGTAACACACAAATGGAAGTCTTAAAAACTTTTTGTTCTGGTCAGTTACAGGTGGATCCCAATAATTTGTTTTTGGTTTTCTGATGGAAATAATAGAACTAGGGGAAATCAGATCTGGTTGGTAGATGTCTACAGTATTAGAAGAGGGTATAAGGGCACTGTTTAACACTAAGTTCTTTTGATATGTAAATTCTAATACTTCCAGAAACTGTGCATTCCAGATCTACATACTAAATGCTGAATCATTTTGAAATGGGCTCTTGATTAATAGACCCATATTTTTTAGTGGCTCCTATGTTGTACATTTGTCTAAAATGAAAGCTCTCATTTGCGTTCTAAAACTACAATATATGTCATCTTATTTTCCCTGAGTAATCCAAGTATAGTGCAGATTCTATATAAAACTACTAAATGACACTGGAATATGTTGAATAGATTGGGGGAAAAAACTATAAAGTTTTACACAATTGTTTGTAGTTACCTTTAGGATGGACTTACCCCTTTGGAGAAGAGTGAAATTTGTTTTTTCGCCATGTGATGGAAGACCATTGTGATTTTTTTAAAAAGTATATAATACTTAAAATGGCATAATAATTCTGCACTTGAATTTGTACTGTTAACAGCACATTTGGAAGAATTTTAAACTTTTTATTGTCTTATAACTAGCATTCACTTATGATTTTGGATATATTTTTTTTTTTTTTTTTTTTTTTTGAGACGGAGTCTTGCTCTGTGCCCCAGGCTGGAGTGCAGTGGCGCGATATCGGCTCACTGCAAGCTCCGCCCCCCGGGTTCACGCCATTCTCCTGCCTCAGCCTCCCGAGTAGCTGGGACTACAGGCGCCCGCCACCACGCCCGGCTAGTTTTTTGTATTTTTTTAGTAGAGACGGGGTTTCACTGTGTTAGCCAGGATGGTCTCGATCTCCTGACCTTGTGATCCACCCGCCTCGGCCTCCCAAAGTGCTGGGATTACAGGCTTGAGCCACCGCGCCCCGGCCAACTATTTTGGATATTTAAGGGTTCCATTAAGTTAACATTGTATTTGGACGAAGTGTAACCAAATTAGCCAGTCTGTTTTCTTCCATGTTTAATTAGAAGTGAGAGGTAGAAGTACTTCAAATTCAACAGGCCAGCAAGCAATCGGCTTAAAATTCCCTTCCTTAAATGTTATGCTCTTATGCTCTCGGCTTTTTAATGACTTTATTTTTACAGTACTTGTTCAGTCACTTGAGATGAAATGCTTGGGGTAGCTTTTCCATCCTCAAACTTAATGTTTTTACTGTAGTTCATAGTGTTTGGAACAGTATGTGCCAATCACTGAGACTGCTTCAGAGTTTGCAATTTTGTAAGTTTCATTGCCAAAGAAGGCTTAGTGGTTGTTGACTGTAGTATAAGTCAACTTTCTGTAGCATAAGATTTGATTTTCCCATACTTACCCCACTTGTTATACATCATTGACTATTTGGGTTAAACTGGACTCATTTCAAGCAGTTTGCTTTTGTTGTTCAAATCGTGATGAGAAACTTAATACTGTTATTTGATTTGAGCCATAAAACACATTTTAATATTAGCTTGTATTATATTTATTAAGCTTGTTTTTGTGGGAAAAAACTTACTAAAACCTAGGTAAGTCTAGATTGGGCCAGTTTAGGTGTATTTTGTATTTTAGTAATGGATCATACCGTAAATATAGAGATAAGTTGGGAAGATATATTGATTATGCTGTTCTGTTGAGGGAAAGGTCATGTATTTAGAAATTTTAACTTTTGGTTACTGTGTTTATATCATAGTATACAAGCATCATTTATAGTTTGGCTTTGAGAACTTTTCTGGTATTACGTTTATGGAAAATGTATAAAAGAAACAAGTTTTGGTTATATTTTTATATTTGTAAAGTAAAAGTTTGGTTAAAGTGATCACTGTTCTTTTTTTATTTTATTGTCATTTCAATAAAAAATATTTGAAAGAGAATGACTCTGTGATTGTTTTGGGATAGTCCTGTATGTGTGGCTGCTGACCCTACTGTGCTAGTAGAAATCTTGCATGGTTCTTCATTGTGAGCGGCCGAGGGCCTTTAGGTAAGAGGCAGCTTAGCATAATAGCAAGGGCCTGATGGCCGGGTCATTGATGTTGCCCTCGCCTTGTGCCCCACACACTCCCACCCATCCCATTATGTGTTAGCAGTGTTTTTAGCAGACTTAGTTTCCTGCGGTGTGAAAGGGTCACTAGATTTGGAACATGAAGGCCAGAAGTTAGAAGTTGCGTTGTTAACTGTGTGTAGTCCATATCATTGGGGACTGAGGCCGTTTCGTCATCTGCAAAGAGAGGGTTGACTCCTTTAGTTATTTTCTCAAACTTGCCTGGAATTCTTAATGTTCTGTGACACACTATGCCTGCTGCATATGTAATACTGTGTAATTCAATGTCATGTTAAATAGAAAGTTTACCCAAAATATGGGAATATATGTGTGTCTGATAAAACTATAGCCTTTTCAGCCTTTATATCTGAACAGAAGTTTGAATGAAACCTGATAGAAAGTAATTGAAAGGTTTTTCTGAAAACTTTACTACTTGTGTATTTTATAGCAGGCACCAGAGGTCTATGAAAAATAAATATGAAAGAAAAGCTACAAATAGAAATGTATCCATTAATTTAGTTTTTCCTCTAAAAACTTGAAGAGTTGGTTATTTTTCTCTCTGCTAGATTTAGCTGTGGAACATATTGGTCGAGCTGATGAAACACTAGCATGCCATGGGAATACATTTAAAGCTACTGGATTAGATAGTGAAGTTCAGCTTCTAGGATTTTGAGAATCTTAAGCAACAACAAAGCCACTCAACCAGTCTCACATGATGGTGAATGAGGTCATGAATATGAAAGGACTTCAGATATTTTAAAAATGAAAATAGCATTGTATCTAGGTATGAATCTTAGTCCACACAAACTGATTTGTCTGAAATAATTATTCCCTTTAAATCAAACCAAGTCAGAACCACCATCCCACAAAGATGGCAGGAAATTCAGTCTATCAGTCATAATGGAAATGAAGGAGCTATTTGAAGTCTCAAATCTAGAAGGCATAGTGGTATTCTGAAATGAAGGTGGTGGTGACGAGGGAGCTCGAGCTTTCATCATGGACTCTACTGATTCTTGTCCAAGCAGGACCAGCCTCTCAAAGTCTGATGCTGTCATCAGTCTGCCACACTTGGGGCTTGGGACACAGCTGACAGGTAGCCTGTATGTTGATTCAGTCTCCCCAGGCACATTAAGCATTCATCCCTTTTGGGTCCTGCCTCCTCCCCTGGTCCTCTCATGGAGTAAGATGCAATTACCAAGAACTAGAAGTATTGGTTAAGACTTAAGAAGACTTGTTTGGTTATTGCCAAAATGTCCTTCCTTGAGACAAGGGTGTGCAAAGTACCTTCTTGGAGTGGGAAAGGAAAAAGTAATGGTAGAAAATACTAATTCTAGTAAAAGATCCAAACACAAACCGTTTACATTCTTTAAAAATGCAAACAAAAAATAAGCTTTTATAGTTGGGTTAACTTCCCCCGTTCATGTGAAGTTTCAGAAAGTCCAAGCTTCTAAAAGTTTAATAAGGGCAGATCTATTAAGAGCAGCCTGTTTCTAAGGGTGACAGGACAAATTTGGTTTGTGATAATTTAGAACTACTGTGGCTAGGATTGAATAAAGATTGCCAGTTAGTGGTTTAAAAGTTATGATGGCCCAGATCTTGACCTGTAAAGTAGAACACTTCCTTGAAAATTACAATATTTTTTCAAAATAAAGTTTTCCTTTATTTTACTGATAAAGTTTAAAGTTCAGCATTTTAATTGCATGGCTGTGGGAAGAGAACCAAAGTGAACTCAAGTCTAGTATTCATATAGACCTTGTTTTAAAAAAATGCACGTATACAAAGGTAAGACCTCTCCTTGTCCCGGTAAAACTAAACGTTGACCCTTTAACAAGATGTTTCTAAAATTTCCAAAGTGGAATGGTAAGCCTGAGAGATCTTTTGTTTTATAGTTAATAGACTTTTAGAATATTAGGCATGAAAAAAGACTTTGAAAGATAATTTGGTCCTTTAGAAAGTTTGGAAAATCCTACAAATATTTACAGAGCACCTACCCTGGGCTGGGAAGTATTACAGGCCTTGGGGATGCAAAAGGAATAAAACTCCCAAGGTAACGTTTTTTTTCCTTTGGTAACAGCTTATTGAGATACAATTCACATATTGAGATAGAACTATTTAAAGTGTACAATTCAATGATTTTTCAGAGTTGTGCAATCATCACCTCTATTTTACATTTTCATCACTTTGAAAGCAAACCTATCCCAGCCAGTGACTCACGCCTGTAATCCCTGCACTTTGTGAGGCCGCGGTGGGAGGATCACTTGGGCTCAGGAGCCACAGACAGG